TTCAACTAAATCTTCGAAGATTAAATTTTTATCTGGTTCACAAATTTCTTTCACAAAAGCAGAACAGTCAATTTCATCTTCAACAAAAAATTTCACTCATTTCAATTTCATCAAATTTAGAACCAATCTCAGAAATGAGATTATTATCCGAACTCAATTTATTGCATAGTGAGTTATACTTCTGCGAAATGTTCATTGAGATTTCATTTTTATCTTCTTCTGTTAAAACATTTTTCAACATGTTTTTGTTTTCTTTTGACTTAATGAATTCTTCAATTTTCTCAAGTCCAACTTTATACAAATCAGAAACCTCATCTCCTGAAGAAACAATAGATTCAATTTTATAGCATTCTGCATCAATTTCATATTCTTTTAACTCAAAGAAAGGTAAAATCATTTTATGCAAACTGTTACCAACTTCACAATTCAAATGCAACTGAGAAATATTAAAGTACAGACGTTTAGCAATTAGATACAATATGTTTCTTTGTTTCAAAATCACTCGACTATCTCTCTTAAGTAAAATCACATCGTCTCTCGCTCTATTCAGCTCTACTTCCAACGCCTCTATTTTAATTCTCCTCTCCTCATTTCTAAAAGTTACCTTGCTCAGATTATCATTCAGATTAGAATTATTTATGCGGGTTCTTTTTAAACTATCACTAAAGTCAGAAATTGTATAACACAAGTCATTCAGTTCAAAATAATAACGGGATGCATTAATATTAAGAGATTCAAGAATGGAATGTACCTTATCCACAACACGTTCACACTCACTTACATGCTACTTGATTGACTTCGTGGTAAGGCAGTTGGCCGTGACGTTTCCTCCATCCGTTGCATAACCCTTCGCTTCAGAATTTCAATTCTTCACCATCAGATACCTTCCAGCAAATCCACTCTCTTCAGATTTCACCACCAGACATTATCCATAAGTTGTCCTTATAACTTCATCATCTTTAGAATTTGTTGACCACACCTCTACCTTGCCATCATCGATGTCTTCCTGAACTATCAGGACCGGTTTTGCGTTTCTTGTTGCCTGCTTTCGGAGTTCCTCAATCTTCTGAACATAGTATGCCTCATCCTTCACCATGTCCTTCTTCTCCTTCTCCTTCTTCTCTTTATCGTTCTGTAAGCTCTTGTAATTTTCTTCTCTCAGCTTCTCATAGCTAGAGTTTCCAGGATTGTATTTGTTTCTGAATCGAGAAAAATTCTTTTTGTAGAACTTCTTCGAATTGGACACCATTAACGCCTTGTCTTCTTTTGTGAGTTCATCATAGAATATATCATACTCGGAATCATCAACAATCGACTTCATCTGCTTATCGTCATTCGTAATTAACGCCAATGATCCAACACTTGAAACCAGCTTTGCATCCTTCGTAACTTTTTTTTCATGGGATTTCAGAATCCCAACCAGTTTCACCAGGGAGTAATTTTGAATTGTTCGTATGCTTTCACAGTTAAGACAATTGACTTCGATTCAGATCTGAGACCATTCATGAAAGCAACCTTCTCTTCAATGACTTTTCTCTGAAGGTTTTACTTCAACAACCTACTCAACAGATGATTGAATCGATTAACTGTATGTTCAAGATTCTCTTATGGCTTTTGTACGAATGACCCAAGTTCTGACAGGAGTGTAGTCTGCAAGGAATGTTCAAAGTCGTCATCACCTGAGTACAGCTCCATCGGTATGTCCAAATCCCTTTGGCAGTATCGTACGAATTCACCAGATAAAAAGTATATGGAGGGAGGGAAAATTTGATAATTCCCATAGCCTTCAGATTACACATTAACTTATCCTTCTCATCCTGTCCATCTTCAGAATCTTAGCTCAGTAGGTCTATATATATAGTGCAATGTTCCCTTTATTTTGTACCATTCTTTCTGTAACCGTTTCTACACTCGTAGAATAGTTCCTTGTTGCGAACTGCTCTTTATTCTTATTAATACAGATTGAGGTTCTTTCATTTAATATCATTTTTTTTCATCAAATCACTTTCATATTTCGTATTGAATATAGAATCTATCGGTCATATCAATCGATATCAGAGCAGAGGATAGTGTAATCAATCACTATTCTTCTGTCAAGAGAAAGAGGGTTTTTGTTTAGGGTTTTTCGAAGTTTTATCAGATTTTTTTGTGGTATCTCAATCATTTCTACTATTTTCAATTATATCTTTTCAAATCAATTGTTGATAACAGATCTGATTTCCCTATTTTTTCCTGAACATTCCTTGCAGACTAAGATTATGAAGTGAACATTCTTTGCAGACTACACTCCTGAACATTCAAAGTCGTCATCACCTGATTGAATCGATTATGAAGTCTGGGCTCTTCACTTTGAGGATTATGTGCTTGGGATTGAAACTCATGGGTCTAGCATCTGGCATGCTATGACTGTGGAGACATACAAGTATTCCAGAAATAGAGAAGAGGTTAAAACTCAAGCTCAGTATGATGCTATTGTTGCTGATGACAAAGAAATCACATTGATCTTCAAAGACCCACTCTGATACCACTTATTGGAGAAAAATCACAAGAACAATTTGATGATACGGAATTTAAGAAACCTCATCTCATTTAGTGACTACATCTTGCATCTATTTCCCTAAAATGAATATTACATAACTATTTATAGGGTAAAAAACAAGTCTAGGCCAATAACCCACATGTCATAAAATGAGGCCCCTTGTCATCATCCATGGAATACTTTGAACCTTACATTCTCCCGCTCAAAGTATGGAATGGATGACAATGCTTCAAATTCAAAAACAAGCCTCTAGAAAATAAAAAAAGATCTTGTGACGAGGAATATCGAAGCAATACACGAATCTTTATTCTTCAATAGCCTTCAAAACGGGTTCTAGGATATAAAAATACAAAACTAAGCATTGAAGTAATATTTCTCAACTTCATCTTCTAATGTAATCCCAAAGATTATCAAGAAAGTCAAATCTGCCATAAAAACCCATTTCGAAATTAAGAAACCAAATCACTTCTTATCTTGAAGAACTCCCCCTCCAAGTCACAATGATCTTCAAATATGCTAATGATATAAGCCACCAAAAAATATCATGTAACAAATCAAATTCAAGATTCGTAACGTCACTTGATCGATAAATATCAAAAAGTCATAGTCAATCAAAGCACCACGGTCATTGGTAGAATCTTTGGGATCCCTGTCCTAAAGTTCATCAATACCTAAAAATGATATACCCACTTTCATATCGCTAGCACAAGCTTCATCAAAAATCCTCCAATTTGAAAAGTAACCATCCAATTTCGAATGGCCATGTCAGATTCTCCCCCTTTTTATAATAAAAAAATGATTATAAAACCTTCAAATGGTCATGAGAATGATCTTGAATTGGATAAATCATTTGCTATGCTCCCCCTCGACAAAATGGAATAAGCATTGAAATTTAAAATCCGAAAAGGTCGACAAAAAATGTTATATTTTGCGAAACACGACCTTCCGAACCGCCAAGACTTGTTGGAATCCAATATTTATTGTTCACGAAAAATTCAATTTTGTTCATCATCCCTTGAATTCATAATCATTTTGAAATATTGGGCTGAAATTGTCATTGTGCTGAAATTCTAGGGACTAGAAGTGTAACTTGAAGTTTTCTTACCCATTAACTCTTAGATAAACTAACGCAGCAATGACTTGAGATAATAGTTTCGATTCCGAAAAGATTCATTGTTCCGATTTCCAAATTGTTTCCGTTCAATTCCTTCTATTCTGATCACAAGTTATTTTCCGATTGGTGATTTGAGTTCCGATTCCGAGACCTTGATTTCAATTGCGAAAATGTCCATTACCTGCGAAATCAGTCCTGAAAATATAACCCCGATTTTGACCTCTTATCCCCTCAACTCCGATGACTCTCTCTTCTTGTTCGGTTCATAGGGGTGTTTGTTTTATCTTTTAAACCAACTTTTAGCCTTTATCTTTTCGTAAAAGTTAAAAAGGAACCAAAAGATGTTTGGTAAAGGGAAAAGATCTTTTAAAAGCAACTTTTCAGAAAGAAGGAAAATGAGCATTTTGAAAAGTCACGGGAACGTGAGTTTTTGTAACTTTTGAAGCCCTTAAAACTGAAATTACTTTTATACCCCCAACTACCCTAATCCCAACTACCCTAATCAATTGAAGATACGTTCTTCTCTTCTCCCGTTCTCGTTTTGTCCGCTGCCCATTCTTCTCTCTCGTTCATCGATCTCCAAAGCAATCGGTGATCTTCCTCCAAAGCCGTCGGCGGTCTTCCTCCAAGCCGACGATCTTCTCTGCCGGCGTCTCTCCCTCTCCGACCAGGTAAGTGCAAACTCCTGTTTTGGTTTTGTTTGTCTTGATTTTCGATTTTCATTAGCAAAGAAAATGTCACCTTTCGATTTTCCTTGTACTGTATGTGATTTGTTACTTTGATTTCGATTCTCCTTGCATTGCATGTCATTTGTTCCTTGTATGGATATTTGTTGACTGTAAATTGATGCATATTGTGTTAACAGTCATAGATTTGTGAAATTGATGATTTATTGAATAATAATTAGTGAAATTGATAAAAGTTGGATGATATTGATTAAATTGATGAAATTTTTTGTTCACGGTGACTAATTTGTGTTGTTAACAGGTACCCATTTGTGAAAATTATTCTAATTTCTTTATTCTGGTTTGTGTTGTTTTCTTCCATTGTTGTTCTATTTTTTCTGTTTTAATTAATGAAAGATTGATTAGCAAATGTTTAAATTGATGAAATCATTTAGGAAGGTTAATGAAATTGGTTCGTAACGTACGTATGCCATGTCACACTTCAGACCGCACAGGGCACATGTTTATTTATGAAGTACTAAATGGACATCCTAGATGGTGTTATGAGATGTTTAGATTGAACGTACCGGTTTTTAGACGGTTATGCGTAGATCTTGCTACAAATTATGGACTACAACAAACACGAAATATATCTATTGAGGAATCTATAGGAATATTCTTGATGACTTTGGCTCATGGGTGTAGCAATAGATTTGTGCAAGAGTTTTTTAATCATTCGGGGGAAAAAATTCATAGGCATTTCCATACAGTTTTCGAAGCCGTGCTAAAACTGAGTGCCGACATCATCAAGCCAGTTGCAAACTATAATGATGATGTTCCTGAATATATATTAAATAACCCTCGGTATTATCCAATGTTCAAGGTATTATCCAATGTTCATTTTCTTGGTAGTCAAACTTTAACAAATGATTTATTTATGATATATTTTTGTATTTGAAGGATTGCATTCGTGCTATAGATGGGACACATGTTAGGGCATCAGTTCCACAAAACGAGGAAGCGAAGTACATTGGTCGAAAGGGATATGCAACACAAAATATAATGGTTGTTTGTGATTTTAACATGTGTTTTACATTTGTATGGGCCGGTTGGAAGGGGACTGCACATGACACAAGAATTTTCAATGAAGCCTTATAGAGACCAGATCTTAATTTTCCATATCCAACGGGCGGTTAGTATATTTTTATTTGGAAGACAAGTTTTATAATTTTACTACTTTTTTGAAACGAAAAAATAATTTGTTTGTATTATTTACAGATAAATATTACGTTGTTGATGCCGGATATCCAAATACTAGAGGGTATCATGCTCTATACAAAGGCACAAATATTCGTTATCATTTACCAGATTTTCGACGTGGACACTCGGCTGTTATTCGTGAACCTCGTGGACCGAAAGAGAAATTTAACTATCTCCACTCATCGTTGGAAATATCATTGAACGGACTTTTGGAGTGTGGAAAGCTAGGTGGGTGTTACTAAGAGACATGCATGTTAATTACAAGTATAAGAACCAAGTGAAAATTGTGATAGCATCATTGGCGATCCATAACTATATTAGAAAGGTTGGTAGGTTTGATGAAGCGTTTAATAGGGCACAACAAGAATCCTACAATCCCATACGAGGTGATACTAATAGTGAAGTTTACGAAGAAGGTCCAAGTACACGTCGCACAAGTGATGATGATTTATATATGGCAGCGATGCGAGATATTATTGCACAAGATATAATCACATTGCGAAGACGAATGTAATATTATCTATGATATTTTTTATGAATTATTTACAATTTGTATGAACGTTTTTTAATATTATCATGGTCTAATAAAAAAAATTAGGAATATTTAAAAGAAATTTATATTTTTTATTTTCTAATGAAATGCTTACAAAATTATAATGTGTTAAAAAAAATTGTTTAGTATAAAATAGTATATCTAAATTAGTAAATAATTGTAAATATGTAAGCATGTCCTTTTTAGTCATTTTACATGTAAAAGTTAAACCAAACACTTTTAAAAAACAACTTTTGACTTTTGCTTCTCAAGTGCTAATCCAAACACATTTTTAAAAACATCTTTTGTAAAAAGTCCTTTTACAAAAAGGACTTTTGAAGGTAAAAATATATCCCAAACACCCCCATAATATCTGTTCTGATCAATACCGACACTGATCGCATTCATTCCAATTTCAAAACAATCGTCGCACATTATTCCATCGTTCCGAAAAGAGACATTCACCTTCAGTTTCAATTCAACACGTGATAAACACCAAATCATCATTTGCAAATTGATTTTCAGATCAAATTCATTTTCAACCAAAATTGTAATCATCCTTCATCTGTTCTTCATTGGTTCTTTAAACTCAAAATATCAATTCATTAATAAGAATCCCCAATAAACATCGGTCCATCCTCACATATCTTTAATCAGTTTTAAGTTTAGAACCATCGATTCCAATAAAGACAAACAAGAATCATCGAATCAATCTTCAAATTCAAGTCGATATTGAGATCCGAAACAAAATTTATCACAATAAATATAAAACAATCGACCAGTCAAGAGATAAAAACTTGAATTCGATAATCGACCTTGAAAAAATACTTAATTTCGATTATTGATAATGAAGATTTTGTGATCTATGGATTCGATTCAGTGAACAGAGGATGCGAAAAGGACGAGAGAACAGAAAATAAGAAACAATCGTCAAAGCTTTTTAGAATAAGGTCAAAGAAATTTGATGTACATGGTAATAGATCATGATGAACAATAGCAAACTGGATTTGGGCTCAAGATGAAACGGATGAACAGTAAAAATAGAGAATTTGTGAATATAACTGGGCTGAACTCTCGACTTAATAAAATGAAATTCAGATCCGAATTGAAAAAAGTGAATATAATCAACAGTAGTAACACATGATTTGGGCTAAAACATGGATCTTTGGAAAATAATTGAATCAAAAGACTTTGATCTCAAAACAAATCATATCCATAGAAAAATATGAAGTAAATGAGAATCGGATTGGAATTACCACGATGAAAAGTATCAAAGACCATAAATCTCCATGAACTGGAAGCTTGATTCCAAAACACCAAAATACAAGAATCTTCAATAACTTGTGTAGAAATTCATCAAATCCAGAACCGATACTTCAAAATCACATTGATCTTCAAAGACCCGCTCTGATACCGGTTGTTGGGGAAAAATCACAAGATGATTTGATGATCCGGAATTTAAGAACGAACACAATCATGAAGATGTATTTGGTGAACAAGATATTTTATTCAACAAGATGAGGAAATTACACTAAAAGAAAAAATTGAAATATATCCATTCTACCTAAGAAACCTCATCTCATTTAGTGAATACATCTTGTCTCTCTTTCCCTAAAATGAATATTACATGACTATTTATTGGGTACAAAACAAGTCTAGGCCAATAACCCACATGTCATAAAAGGAGGCCCCTTGTTATCATCAATGGAATACTTTTAACCTTACATTCTCCCCCTCAATCACTATTCTTCTGGTATTCAATAAGAAATATGAAAGTGATTTAATGAACAAGAATGATATCAAATGAAAGAAGCTCAATTTGTATTAATAAGCACAAAGAACAGTTCGCAACAAAGAACTATTCTATGAGTGTAGAAACGGTTACATAAATAACAGTATAAAATAAAGGGAACAATGTATTACATATATAGACCTACTAAGCTAAGATTCTGAAGATGGACAGGCCCATTTTGGAAGCGAAATACATACATAAAATTCTGAAATACAACCAATTGACACAACACATATAATATTAACACTTCTTCAGCAGGGATGTTCTGGATTTTTGGTTTAGGTTTCAGATACACGGGCTGAGGCCATGTCACGGTTTAGCGTGGTACCCATTGTGTGGGATTTACCCGATGTTTTTTCCGAGGATTTGCTAGGAGTCCCTCCCGAGCGGCAGGTTGAGTTTTGGATTGATTTGATGTCTGGTTCTGCTCCGATAGCCAAGGCGCCATATCGCCTAGCACTGCTTGAGATGCAGGAGTTGTCTATATAGCTGTAGGAGCTGCTTGAAAAGGGTTTTATCCGTCTGAGCAGTTCCCTATGGAGAGAACCGATCCTGTTTGTGAAAAATAAGGACGGGTCGTACAGGATGTGTATTGATTATTGGGAACTAAACAATTTAACAGTGAAGAACTGTTATCCGCTTCCGAGGATCGACAATCTGTTTGATCAGCTCCAAGGTGCATGTGACAACCGTCACTTTCTGGGAGCAGTAGTGTTCGCCCTAAAAATCTAGAGGCACTACCTTTGCGGAACAAAGTGTACTATCTTTACCGATCACAAAAGCCTTCAGCACATCCTCAATCAAAAAGAGCTCAACATGAGGCAGAGACGATGGGTAGAATTACTGAATAATTACGAGTGTGAGATTCGTTATCACCCAGGTAAGGCCAACGTGGTTGCTGACGCCTTAAGTCTAAAAGAATACTCGGGTCGCCGACTAAAGTCATTAACCATGACAATCCATTCGCACATGTCCATGCAAATCAAAGAGGCCGAGCTAGAAGCTCTGAAGCCTGAGAATGTGGCGGGTGCGGCATTAAGAGGAATGGATAAGAATCTAGAAGTCAAGGATGACGGAGCTCGTTATCTCATGAACTGAATTTGGACACAGAAATTTGGCGGGTTCAGGGACGTCGTCCTAAAGAAACTCTACTGGTGGCAGAACATGATAGCCGAGATCGCTACTTACGTAGCAAGTGTCTAACTTGCGTCAAAGTTAAGGTAGAGTACCAAAAGCCTTCGCATCTACTCCAGCAATCTGTGATACCCGAATGGAAGTGGGAACGAATAACCATTGACTTCATAACCAAACTGCCTAAGACAACGGGTGGTCTTGATACCATTTGGGTAATCGTCGATAGATTGACCAAATCCGCGCACTTCCTGCCAATAAAGGAGACCCACAAGATGGAAAAGTTGACTAGGACGTACATCAAAGAGATTGTACGACTACATGGTGTGCAGATATCCATTATCTCTGACAGAGATAGTAGATTCACTTCCCGATTCTGGCAGTCCTTACAGAAAGCTCTAGGGACCAGGCTAGACATGAGTACAGCCTACCATCCACAAACCGACGGGTAGAGTGAAAGAACTATTCAAACCTTGGAAAATATGCTAAGAGCTTGTATTATTGACTTTGGTAAAGTGTGGGATACTCACTTATCACTTATTGAATTATCGTATAACAACAGCTATCATACTAGCATCAAGGTCGCGCCATTTGAAGCTCTTTATGGCCGCAAGTGCAGATCACCACTATGCTAGGCTGAAGTGGGAGATACACAGTTAGCAAAAGGGCAAGTCCCTAACAACACCCTCACTGTCCCTGAAATCATAAGGGAAACTACGGAAAAGATTGTTCAAATTCGAGAAAGACTGAAAGCATCTCGAGATCGACAAAAGAGATACGCCGATAAGTGACGCAAACCCTTGGAATTCTAGGTTGGGGACCGGGTGCTACTGAAGGTCTCACCACGGAAAGGAACGATAAGTTTAGGTAAACGTGCTAAACTAAATCCAAGGTATATCGGTTCGTTCAAAATCCTTGCCAGGATTGGCCCGGTGGCATACAAACATCGGCTACCCCAAGAACTTAACAACGTACACCCGAGGAAATCGAGGTCAACGAGAGTCTCCACTTCGTAGAAGAACCGGTAGAAATCATGGATCGAGAGATCAAGAGAACAAAACAGAGTCGCATCCCTATAGTGAAGGTCCGTTGGAACGCTAAACGAGGACCCGAGTTCACCTAGGAACGCGAAGATCAGGTGAAACAAAAATACCCACACCTCTACCTAAAATCTTGTAGTCCCGATCAAAGTGCTAATTTCGGGACGAAATTCCTTCTAACTAGTGCTAATATGATTAGGGATTTCTTTATGGTTACTAATGTATGACTCTAAATCTTAAATGCAAAGTAACATTGGAAAGTTTCAAATGTTCAAAATTCTAAACCCTAATCAGAATGGCGAAAGTAACAACTCTATAAAACACTATCACATGCCCTTCGGGGGTGTATAACACTCAAAATAGAACTTAACTAAGTCTGCGGTCTTTGAACTACGAAGAAAAACATTAATAAAGGCTCCCTACAAAGTCTCTCTCAATCTCTCCCATTGTATCTATCTCTCTCCCAAATCTCTCCAAGTATGTGAAATCTCTCCAAGTATGTGAAATCTCTCCCAAATCTCTCCAAGTATGAGAAATCTCTCCCAAATCTCTCCAAGTATGTGAAATCTCTCCCAAATCTCTCCAAGTATGTGAAATCTCTCCCAAATATCTCCAATTATGTAAAATCTCTCCTAAATCTCTCCAAGTATGTGAAATCTCTCCCAAATCTCTCCAAGTATGTGAAATCTCTCCCAAATCTCTTCAAGTATGTGAAATCTCTCCCAAATCTCTCCAAGCATGTGAAATCTCTCCCAAATCTCTCTAAGTATGTGAAATCTCTCCCAAATCTCTCCAAGAATGTGAAATCTCTCTCAAATCTCTCTATGTACCTTCCTCAGTCGAAAACAGCCCAAAACCAAAGGAGAAAACCCAACGGAACCTCTTAGCCCGGAACCCTCTTGATCCGAAACCCTCTTAGTCCAGAACCCTCTTGGTACGGAACCCTGTTCGTCCGGAACCCTCTTGGTCCGGAACTGGACAATTTCGCATCTCCCTCAGCTTCAGACTACTTCACTCTG